ATATAATATATATCTACTTATTATATATATAATTGTTTTTAATACTTAAAATTTTTGTATAGAATAATAATATTTTACATATTTTATGCATTCTTATTGAATCACTGGCGAATTAGTTAATTTCATAACTTGTGCATACGATCTTCTTCAAATTTTTATTTACCTCTGTACAATTTCGTCCCGTGTAATTAGGAGTGCATCGACATATGTATTCGCCATCGTCACCACATTCGCATGTGCCACCATTGTAGCAGAAATCCTAAATCAAATATTAAGATAAAGATTATTTACGTTATAATAATTGAGAAGAAATTAAACACGTGCGAATAATTATTATAAATTTTTTTGTTTTAATTTTCATTATTATAATTTTAATGAGGACTCGTAAAATTTTATTTTTCATTAAGCTTTTCCAAATTTCTAACATATATAGCTTTTCTAATAGATTTTTATAACCAAATCATTTTTTAATTTTTAATTTATCAAAATTTTGCAAGTTTCTTTTCCATGTTATTTATCTATGTTATTTATTTCCATGTTATTTAATGTGGCGCTATTTTCTCGGCAGAAAAGTAAAGGACTTACATCCTGGCATGGATTCACCATGCCGCAATTGTAGCCGCAATAGCCGTCGTCGCAGATGCACTGATAGATACCAGGCAGATTCTCGCATTTACCGTGCCCACAATCGATCTCTAAATCCCGACACTCATTCACGTCGACGGAACAATTAATTCCGGTGTATCCAGTACCCTGGCAATCGCACACATACTTGTTCACTCCGTCATAGCACTTGCCATCATTCTGGCAGGGCCCGCTGCCTTCAGAATCCACCGCGCAGTCATCAATGTTGATCTCGCAGTACGTACCAGTATAACCAACGAGGCAGATGCATTTTGGCGCCTATTTCACATAATAATAATTGCAGAATGATTAAACGATACAAAGAAATTCCCGAGAGATGAAACTGGGATTACAATTCCAAATAGAAATTATAAAATTTAAGAATTTAAACAAATATATAAAATGAGGCTCGGAAGAATCTATCAGTGAAATGTAAAAAGCCCATCGGAGCCTACATCAGCTGTTCAGATGCACAAAAAATTCTTTATTTTCGTGTGAATGTAACAATATGAATAAAACAAACGTTTCGATCCTTCAATTGATGTAGGCTCCGATGGGCTTTTTTTACATTTCACTGTAAGAATTTAAAGATGTTCGAGATTTCTAAAACTTATAAGTTTAAAATTTTTAGTCCAGAAACTCAAAGAATCTAGAATTTAAAAATAATGGACAAAAAATTTAATTTTTGTTAATTTTTATAATTTACTGTTTATCTCTCGAAACTTCCAAATAAGAATCTAATAGAAAATCTAGAGAGATATTATTATATTAAATATATAATAATAACAAAAATTTTCAAATTACACTCCTTAGAATATTAAAATATAAAAACGCAGAAAGAAGAGAGATATACCTTATATGGAATGAGGAACTCGCATCTGCCTCCGTTTTGGCACTTTGTGTGGAAACAATAAGGCGTGTCACAGGTCGGGCCGTCGTAGCCGGGCGCGCAATTGCAGGTGAAGTTGTTACCGGTTTTTGGATTCGGTTCGTCTAAGCAGGACGTGGTTGCTCCGCTTTTACATGGCTCATTCTTGCAGGTGATTAGTCGGAAGCTTTCGCATAGTTCACCAGTGAATTGATCAGGGCACTCACACCTGAACGAGCCCGGTAGATTTACGCATACGCCCTCGTGTTTACACGGACTAAGCGTTACGCACTCGTTGATATCACTATCGCATCTGTAATCAGATAAGAAAGAAACTTGATAAGAGAGAGCCATATCTCTTCTTAATTGTTACAGAATGCAGTTTCATGGAATTTATCTTCGTTCTGCTGTGATATAGGTGGATTTTGTGTGTGTGTGATATAATGTAAATCATATGACTTCACATGACTTTCTGATATG